AGGACCCGAACAAATACATGAATCTGGCCCAAAGTTGCATAAAGGCAGATTGTTACTACTGCGTACTCCTAACACATACCTCCCTACCTCCAACCTTTATGACATTAGAGTTGAGGGGGCCACATCTAAATATTCTCCGAAACCAAAAATCCCATTAGCACGCCGACTTTAAGCAGTTATTGACCAGATGTGCACAGGAGAGATAACAGGCAGGTTTTCTAATTGTTTTTCTCAAGCTATCTTTCGCCATTCCTCACCCCACTACTAACTTTGCTTTGTATGAACTAAGGGGTGCAATATTATAAGAGACACTTTATGAAAGTGTTTTTGCCACTGCAACGCCCCTGTATTTCACATAATAGTGCATGCCCCATGTACTAAGGCTGAGTTCTTACCAAAGAGAAAGAATACAAACCGCAGCCCTTCGCTGCTGATGGATCTGTACTGTATTATCAAAAGAGACAAAACAAGACAAAACCAATATTTGGAGTTCTCTTATCCCAATGTGTAGGATTCAGACGCATTACAACTATATCAAGCTACTTCCACCATTGCTTCTCAGAACCAACAGTCATTAAAAATACAGCCACAAGAGGTCGCTTGTGAAACAAAGATACCTCTAAGTTTTAATGAATCCAATGCAAATAAATAGCAAACAGGGCAGATTCATAATCTCCTTGGTTCAAATCAATTGTTCACTTCAAAACTGCTGTACAACTCTCAGTCCACTATCTTTGACTTCTACTAAATACTATTATCCAAACATTAATAGCAATGTTTTCCAATGCTTGTTAAAATGTGGTTATAGGCCTAGCTTAATCTCTTTAAATTCTTAGAGACGGGCTGTTATCTCTCCGGTGGACAAATATACCTCAAGGACTTTACTGTACAGTAGCCCTGGTGCAAACTGCAGCTCTGACCCTACCATGTTGGTGACTCATACCGTCAATCAGGCGTTTGAAAAACCGAAGTGTGTGATTTATTTTCCATTACCTCAGAGAGATGTAATGCTTCACATCTTATACAACTAGAGTGTACATCTGTAGACATCTCTACAGAGAACTAAAAGGCCATAAAGGATACCTGACCTTCTGTTCTGACCCACTACTGGGCCTTCGAGCCTCCTATGCCAGAGTCCTAAACTTATTTTTAAGAGGGTATTATACATTATAAAATGGACAAGTCAAATCAAGCAATCTGATTGGTTCTTAGCCATGATATAATGAGCGTATACCACGGGTAGAATTGTAGTTACTTTTCACAACAAGTCAGTATCCCTCCGCGTCTGAGAAAAGCAACAACCGTTACAACTGTTAATGTACATTACGTCCGTTACAAAACTAACTAACTAACAAAGCTTAAAGGGGACCTATCATGCAAAATGCACTTTGTGATGTCTTTTATACATATATATGTGTCCCCGGTGCGTCGGGGAACTCACGCAGCGTCAGAAAATAAAACCCTCTCTTTTCCTCCGTACCCAAATCTTTTTCAAACGGGTGTACAACGAGCGGATACAGATTCCATCCGAACTGACGTCAAATCGGCAGCGGACCCACAGAAAGTTGCTATCAGAAACAATGCCTGACGTGTTTTGGAAGTAATCTCATCTTTGTTTACATTAGCAAGCCTCGCTAACACTCAGAGCTAACCTGTATTGTAGAGCACATGTGTTTAAAAAGCAGGAAATAAAAAAAGAACTCACCTTGTGATAAACCTGCAAGAGAAAAAGCATTTGAGCTCCATACTATTTCAGAAATAATCCTTGACGTGGTTTAAACAGGATGGCGTTTTAAAACAGCAGAATTTAACTTTATCTCCGGTAGAATTCTGATCAGGCATTAGCTCCGCCTCCTCTTCTTTCTTTTTTTCAAGCTAAGGACCCAAGATCCGCGTTTCTTTAACAGGGCTTCAAAAGAGGGGTTTGAGCAATATGAGGAATGGCTACAACGGCTGATCTGTTTGGTATTTTGAAAAAAAGACTTCACAGACATGTTTTGTATAGGTATGGCCCTACAATATATGTTTCAAATATAGCATGATAGGTCCACTTTAAGATGGAAACATGTAAGGGATAATGTGCAGCAAGGACTTATTGACCGTTGTTAAAGGACGCTCACATCTGCAGAAAGAAGTCCGGTCGATTTAACTGTATACAGTTGGGCTGAAAAGCAAACTGCATGCAGTTTGCTTTTCAAACTGGGACAAGAAAACAGCGGAGAAGTAACGGGGCAGAAACCCTCCTTTTTACACAACGGTCCAGACATAGACATCAAACGGCAAAACATATTCAGTTGCCAGTTACTTTGGCATTAGGGCAGGGATATCTACTTTCCAAGATTTGACATAATGAATTGTGCTTCTTTTAAAGCAAGCAACGATGTTTTCAAATCTGTAATCAAAAAGGTCCGCAAAAACGCTATCGACCAATCAGATTGCTTGATTTGACTTGTCCATTTTATAAATATATTTACATTCCGTCCGTTACGAAACAAACTTACAAAGCTTAAGATGGAAACATTTAAGGTTAACTTCGACCTCCGGGGTGGTCTTACTATGGAGGAGTGGATTGAGGAGTGCCTATCTCCAGAAAAGATAGCACCTAAACGACGACATGCAGAGCTACGTGAAGAGCAGGTAGACCAACTGGAAAAGTACCACCATTCAAAAGCTTTCTGATGCGGGTCTTGAAACAAAGCAGAGAAATTATGACCGTTAGTGGCCACAGGTGCGAAAGCTCTCTCCAGAGCTACTGGAAGCCGAATCTCGGGGACCGGAGAAAGTGGAGCAATATTCTCGCCACGCCAAGCAACAGCCTAGTATAACCTCAACCTATACAAGTGACCACGTAAGCCATTCTACTGATGCTGGACAGTTTTTCAGTGGGTGCACAATAAACGGCAACATACAAACTAATGTAAATAAATAGCCAAATAATGGATCAACACTCTCTGTCTAATATGTTCGCTAGCTGTTAGTCTTGTTGCATAGCAATCACCTCGCACTATGTTTCTTGCAGAAGGCAACGGAGGGACTATTTTATTTTGAACATCATTATTTACTAATAAAAACTATTTAAATTAGAGTGTGTATTTTTCTTTCATATTGCTACACTTGGCAATATGGTTCGGCCCGACGCGAGCTATTGCTTAATTATAAGCATTAATGGTCACTCCACCAATAATTCTACCTCAGTTCCGGTTTTAAATTGTTGATTTGGCTAAATTGTACTTGTAAAGAAAAAACATAACTGTTCGCCGTGAGTTCTTTTCCTTAAGTTAGTTATTTTGGATTGTTAAAAGATTAGTGCAAAGAACACCCTTGGCGTGTTCTAGGATTAAGGGCAAGTGATTTCTTTTTTTAGTAAATTGCTAGTTGCCATTGTACAAAGGACTTTAACATGTGAATCAATGGTTGGTAGCTCTTATCTTTCTAAGTTTCTAACTACCCTTTTCTACAGCTTATTCCAAACAAGCTGATAATACTGCTGCTAGAAACATAAACATAAAATATCAACGGCAAGCCCTTTTTAGAAAATCTCAGTTCTTCTTAGCCGGCCAAGTTTCAAACTTAGTGATATGTTTCTCATTGCATCAATTACCCAAGTCCAGGGAGATAGCAGTTTATATGGAGTCAGCTGGAACGTCAAAGAAAAATAATTGTGTAGCAGATGATCCCAAAAAAGTGTCCGTTTATGCTGCATCATGCCATATGGGAGTGACTAGATAAACCATTATTGGACTATCAATTGGGTCTCAGGAAAAATATCACTTTATCATAAAGACCTTGATATATCAAGAAACATATTTTTTATCACTCAGCTTAGGTCTACCAATCAAAGCCACTGCACCATATTTGGTAAACGGACATTATATATCACACTCCCTGACAAACGATTGTGCCTGGAACCAAACCTCAACGCCATGATTATTCATTTATGTAAAATCCTTATTACTGGTAACACTGATAATCTCTTAACCTTACAAACATGGCATCATAAGGTCTTATTCTACACTCTAAATGCTGTGGGAAATTGTATTATGCTCACTACTGCAGGTTCTGCAGATTGCCTTTATCTTTTACAGAGAAGTCTACAGTGGCTCACCAGAATGCAAACTGGAAAAATATGGAAATTAAAAAGAGAAACAAGGACCTTCCCTTCGTCTCTCGCTCCTTGCTGCTCTTCATCCCACCACACACACACACACACACACACACACACACACACACACACACACACACACACACACACACACACACACACACACACACACACACACACACTATACAGTATACACAGTAAGTAGAGAGAGAGATCGAGAGACATAGACCCAATAACAAGTGCTGCAGTCCACTGGAACAGTATGATCTGTTCCCCAAGAAGACTTTTTAGGACATACACCACACACACACACGTTATTTGCCTGACTCCTAGATTCTCCTCCCCATATTTTCCCATTCTTGACACGCACACGTACTGTAGTGACACAATCACATCATCAACACACTCTCCCCTCCCCTCCCTCTCCACTCCTCCGGCGCGGCTTTACTGTGCTCTTCTCCAGACTCTATACTGACTGTACAGTAACACCGGCGCGCTTCCTCCAAATGCGCCACTCTAATCACCGTACAGTGCATTCCTCCTTAAGCAAGCCAGCAAACAGCCGCGCAGACACACTCATCTGCGGCTGTCAACTAAACAGCGCGCAAACCCCTTCCCTCCTCAAACCGAAAGACTTGAGGCTCTTCTCTTGTACAACAGCCTTCGGTTCTTGTTTTTTAAAGAGAGGCTAACATTTACTGTAAACACAGTCACGTGCATGAGCATCTCCTTAATGCAGCCGAAACAGAAGTCCTGACGTGCGCAACCGAAAGAGCGCCTCAACAAGCCTGAAGAGTGCGATGGGCTTTAAAACAGATGCAAAAGAAGGGTGGAGGTTGGACATGGGAGAAATTAAGGTTTTGGTAAGACGCAGTAAATAAAGGAAGGCTTTACTCACCCTGCAGACCGGAGAGCTGGTCGGATGGTGCAGCCGACGAGAGATGTGTGCGCACTGGGAGACCTGACCACCAAATTTGCAGTTTTCCCCCTTATCTCTCACCCTCCCTCTTTGCTGCTCTCGCCGCACACTCTCTCTCTGTCTCTCTTTCGTGATTCCCCGTTCTCCTCTCCTCTCTTCTCACTCCTCCTCCTTCTCCTTCTTTACTTCACTCTGCTCTTTCAGCACTGCGGAGAATCGGTTGAATGGGCTTCACTGTAGTTTGGGTATAGGGAGGTGGGACTGGTGTGTGTGTATGTGTGAGGGGAGAGGGGGTTACAGTGATGTAGGCTGAAGGAAGAAGAAGACGCGCAAAGACAGCATGGCATAAGAGGCTGAAATTGAGGGCACATGCAAGCTGACAGCATGACTGATTCGAACACAGCAACAATTAGCATCGTGTAACTCAATAATGAGCAAAACACACAAACATGGATCTGCGGTGTGAGTGTGCATGCATTGTTTTCTACATAATTACTGAGGGAAATTATTAACAGCAGAGAATACATCTCCAGTGCAGCCGGAGCAGTGAAATTAACTCAAGTTTCATCCAAACTGCCGGTTGGAACAGGTCTCTGTGGAAGCCATAGTACTGTAAAAAGCACGACCAATCATTTTAGCCGGCCCGGCTAAAGTAACTGGATGGCCTACCTGCCTGTCAGCCTTCCATCTGTGCACAAACTTATCTCGTGCCCTCATTGGGCATGTGCGCGTTCGTGTGTGTTGGAGGAGGGGCTCTGTAAGGAAGTGGCAGATTTTTTCCGGTTGTGTATTTTCAAATTCTAGCGCACTCGAGCTGGTTTCTCCAAAATTACCTACCCCACCTTTAACAAGCCATGATGAAATTATAAAAGTAAACATGACAATCAATAAGTTTAAATCTAACATTCTAGTTATCAGTTCTTCGGCATTGGACTTTGCTGGCTGGTTGTGTTCTGAGAGGAAATGAGTTTTGCAGCACACTAACAACCTGGTTGATTGAAAGGTAGGCCTACTTAGTAATAAGCATAGTGTAAACTATTGTAACGTTCCACAATATAGGAGTCGGAAACAGGCCTCAAGTCGGTTTAATAACTCCTTTGGTAGCATACAAAGTTCATAGGTTACAGGTCGCAGGCATAGACTGTATGGACGTAGTGTCCGTGACGTCACCCATAGGATTTCTGCAGAGTTGCCGAGAAGCCTAAAGTAGGCGGTGTCGGCCACTAATGGCTCGACAGTGACGTCAGAGTCTAACTCCCGCCTGCTCCAGCCTGATCCAAATAAGGGCAAAGAGGCGGAGCCGAGGCGGGATCTCCTGCCACCGAGCTGAACGTTCCAGACCTAGCTGAGGCTACCAAGCTAAGCTAACATGATCAGCAGTGCGGCTCTGTGATGCTAGCCGGCTAACCTACATCTGTTGCTCCCGGTCTGCACATTTTACGTTGCTTAAAGTGGACCTATCATGCTATATTTGAATAATATAGTGTAGGACCATACCTATATAAGGCATATTTTTTTTTAAATACCAAACAGATCATGCATTTTAGCCATGCCTCATTTTGCTCAATTTGACCATTTCTAGCTCTGTTTTAGCAAGGGCAGATTCAGTGAGAACAGCACCATCTACTGGCCTGGCATATGTACTAGGGATGGGAATTTGAAAGCAAATGTATATTCGAATATTCGACCCCCCAAAAAACGGTTAACTGAAATGTACATATCCTATAAATAAAAAATTGGGTCAAAAAACAAATCTAACATTTTTTTTCGCAAAAAACATTTTCAATAACTTTTGGAAATAAATAAATACATGTTCAAATAAGTATAGAAACCAAGTCGAATTTGTCAAATGTATTGAACTGGTGATCACAGTTTGACAGCTATAGGCCTACAGCTTTCATGTGCGGAGGCGATTCACAATCAGGCCAGCTGTAAAGAAGACCCTCTCAGCTGGAACGGAGGTTGCGGGTATAGCAAGGTATAGTATGTACTGTATATATATAAGTTTAATTTGGCATAGTTTGCACTCTACACCGCACTCACTAACCTGGTCGAAATATTTCCACACATTACTCCTTTTTGACGCCATGTCTGTTGTGTAGGACTCTTAGAGTGTAAATAATTACCGGACTATGACTGGTAAAATATGTTGAATACCGGCAAAACTAAATCTCTCCTGTCAAAATGTCTATGTACTTTGCCGCCACACACGGTTGCCACTCATGTGTCGCGAGTGTTGACAGGGGGCGGGGGAGCACGCTCATGAACTGTTAGCGCCGGAACCTCGCAACGGCTGCGGAGCGCATTTGCGCCGCATTTGGGCATAAGATGAGGTTTGAGTCTGCGTGATTTGCGTGTAGGCAGGGGCAGCAGGCATATCATTAGCTAGAACTAGCTAGATCTGATGGATTTGGACATAAACGCGAGTGAAGTACCGGACGCGAGAGAGAGAGATCAGCACCTGCAGCTCTGCCCGCTGTGAGGGACCAGTGAGCGGAGCAAAACACACCTTTAGACGTCACCCAACACATTTAGCTATGGCACTGTCGTATACATTGAATCAATTTGATAATATGTAATCAACTTAGGCATCCCTCCCAAAACAAGAAAAAAAAAAAAAAAATAATAAAAATATTCATAACTCATATTCGAATACCTGAATAATTATTCGAATACCTGAATAATTTCGAATATTCGATTAATCGTTCCCATCCCTAATATGTACTACAGCGTCTCCAGCGCTTTCGAACGGCAATGGCCGTGGTTGTCTCCTCCTGATTGGTGGAGTTGGCCCAATAGCCGTAGCGCCACCGTCCTGACGTCAAGACAGTGTTCAAATCTGGATCAGTTTTTATCAGATCCGTTGCAGCCCCTTTTTTAGAGATTTGGGTATGGAGGAAAATAGAGAGGGTTGTGCATATGTGGGACACATATGCATGTATAAAAGACGTACAAAAGTGCATTTTGCATGATAGGTCCCCTTTAAGGTAAGTGAAGTGAACATGAAACTATTCAGCAAAACTTTCAATAATAATCTAAGGTATTGAGTTTTTGGGATAATACTTGCATACAAATCTTAAAATGCCTTCAGGTTTCTAAAATATATATCTTGTGGTAAATTCAACAGTGGATCCAGCAAAGATTCAAATATGTGCATGATTTTAGTTATTGATTTTTTGCTGTTTCTTTTTAATAAATTCAATTCAAGCTTAGTTACATGTGATGGTAGCTAGTTAGTGCTCTTACCTGTGTGCCTCCTCCACAACCAGACTGTATTAAAACTCTTAAAAGTGGGGTAGGTAATTTTGGAGAAACCAGCTTGAGTGCGCTAGAATTTGAAAATACACAGCCGGAAAAAATCTGCCACTTCCTTACAGAGCCCCTACTCCAACACACACGAACGTGCACATGACCAATGAGGGCACGAGATAAGTTTGTGCACAGATGGAAGGCTTACAGGCAGGTAGGCCATCCAGTTATTTTAGCCGGGTCGGCACGCTTTGCCGAACTGCATTGTAGGAGCGTTGCTTCACTTTGCTCGCATTGCTCGCTTCAAAAGTTGAGCAATGTTCAACTTTTGAAGCTTCGGCGGAAGCGTCAGCCAATCAAATCATATGCCAGTACAAGCTCTAGCCAATCAAACCGCGTGCTTGTGTGTCCGGGGCGGGAGATTCATGTGATTGGTTGTTGGTCGAGTTAGTAAAGCATTGACTACACAATTGTTCGTCCTTAAATGCAGGCATTAAGCTACATGTTCACGTTCTGCTGCCACAATAAGTCGGTTTCTACAGTGTAATGATAATAAAATGCTTACTAGGTATTGGTAATAATATTAATAAAAACAACAACGTTTGGGTTCGTTCGTTTATTATGATGGTAACGTTAACCAGTAAGCTTCAATAATGAACTCCAGCTCAACAAACCATATTGCAATATCTACGTTAACGTTATTTCTGGAACCATCTGGAAATGTGAGATTCATATTTTTCAGATACACAGATCTTATAGTGAGGTTAATCTCATATACAGTACGCTGCTCTTCAACACTACTGTGACGTTAGCTGTCTGCATCGTCGAGCATAGCGAATTTAAATAAACAATAACAATGCATACAGTTATCTAACTAGCAAACTATCTAATGTATGACCTTATTTTACCAACCTCACACAGAAGCCGTTTGTTCTACAGTATAATCCTTCTCAATGTTTTACACTTCTCTATTATGTTTTAACTTGTATGCTACGGATAGCATCGTTAGCACAGATGTAGCTTCCTCTCGCTCGTTAGCTGAATAAAAAGACCAGTAAGAAATAAAGTGCTTGAATTTCACTTAACGAAGAAACTGCATTCAGGGACGGTCTGTTTTAACCGCAGAGCCATAAAATAAGTCCGATATTTAAATGAAGAATACTCCACCAGGCACCAACACAACAAACACGTCCGAGTTCAAGTTGTGTTCCCGGGATCAGCCGAGCAGTTGAGCCCCTGTAGCATCCTGGAGCTTACTGAGCTAACGGAGCTACTAGCAGAGAGACAGAAAGCTAGAAGCAGCAGTAACTGCAGAGACCTGTCACTCAAGGTGACCACGCCCTAATTTATGCAAAAACTTTAAGACCTAATATAACTAAAAGGGTTGCGTTATAAAACAATTCACCCCCACACAGTAGTCATGAAGGGGGAATCTAACTATACAGAGAATATGTTTTTTTGAACCACGATGTAAACATGTTTATTTCTGCTGTAAAGTTGGTCATTTTAACATGGGGGTCTATGGAAATTGCTCCCTTCTGCAGACTGTTCCTACTGGCCACTAGATGAACTGCAGTTTGAGGCACTTCCTTATGGGCCTCCCGGCTCTGCCCCAGAGTTTGCCGCTTGGTCGCAGGTTCAACGTCACTCTAGTACTCCACTCCCTACTCCACTCAGTGAGAGAGATCTGATAGAGAGTGTGGTGTGGCAGTGACGTGACGTGGCAAGATGGCGGCGGGCATTTCTGGCGCAGTGGCAGCGATCTATCTGTGCATGGTTGCTCTGAATCTCGGGCCTCTGTTTGGCTACACCA